GTGGGTTGGAGGCCATCGCTATTAGGATGGAGGCCATCGCTACTGTAGTAGCTTCGCTTCGACGCACATCGCTATTAGGTTGGAAGCCATCGCTAGTAGGTTGGAGGCCATTGCTTCTAGGTAATTGCACATCAGTCCGAGGAGCCTTATATGGATCTCCCAGCAGGGGCAAGCCGCTGCAGTGGGAGAGTCTTCGACAGTTTCCGCCGATCGCGCTGCAGCAACCAGCTCCATCCTGCCAGAGAATAGGCCGACAATATCCTCAATTGACATCTCGAAGCCTGTCGCACGAAATCAAGAGATAAACAACGCTTCTGATGTACTGCCCCCCAAGTTAGGAAAACAATGCAAGACAATAAGAATCATGGCCGCCTCCCAGAAACAAGCCAGAAAGAATGAAAGGATGATGCACTATTTATGCGTGTGCCTGTATTTTGTGTACCTTCTCTACATGAGTTTTTGATATCACCGCCTACCAATAGTGCGCTGCTACTTCAGATTAGACTAATTACTCTAGATTATTAATTTTGTCTTTCCAGTCTGACTCTCACTCCCTTTTTGTGTGGCTTTATTGTGCACTTGTTGGCGCAAGATTTTCGTTCGTTTGCTGGAGGACTCGAGTATACTCCAGTACTTTTTGCTTGCTTGCTGGTTTTGTTCCAATTTCTTGGGCTGCGGGTGGGGGACACATCTCAGACAACTTGCAACTTGCAACTAGCACGAAGCATTGCAGCGGCGTCACGATCATGCCAACAAGTTTCAGGAAATTTGTCTGTTCTGGACAGCTATGCTGATTATGCCTGTGGTGATGGGTCCAACTACTTCCTCACGGATCCAGCTGTTGGTCTAAATGCCGAACTTGCAGAGTTGCACGGTGGCTGTGTGAACATGCTGCTAGGATGCACTAAGTGCAATTGAGACAGCCTCTTGAACATCCCGTCCGTTGGGCGTCGGAATTCTTCGATGTTGCCTTTCATTTAATACCGTGCAGCACCAAGAGATTGCTAAATGATGCAATGAAATCAGGGCAAAACTGCCTGCGAGCTGCCTATATATCTAGAATCTAGACTTGAGCAGACAGCTGCAGAACTTTGAGCAAGTTTTGCAGAACCTCGGGAGGTGTGCGAATCTTTGACCATTTTTGTGCGCCAGGGATAACACCCCACAGCGCCAATTTGGGACGTACAAAAATGGCGTCCCAAAGCCACAACTTGTACGGTGGGTAGCTGAGGATGCGCTGGCCAAGATCAGTTTTTGCGGCCAACTCTACTCACTTCACGTATGCTTTCAGGCACAGAATGACAAACTGATGCCCATCAGAGAGAGAGAGAGAGCGGGAAAGGCGACGCGTGCACAGTTGAATGACAACTGGCCTGAAAGGACTAGCGAGCATGTGGCTGCGGCGGAGAACAGTGAACACGCTTTAGCACCTATACTGGTTGACCATGACGTGTTGCTCGCCATCTTTGTCTAGTTTTGTTGAATGAGAAAGGATTTTTGCGCAGTGTTCTGCCTTTTGAAGGTGTTGGTGTCATCAAGGTCAAGAACCAATTGATGTAATTACGTTTCCTGGTGCTCTCAGAATAGCATTCAGAGCTGACACCGGCCCTCATACTGTCCCATTTGCTGGAACATGCAGAGATTCAACTTAGGCTGGTGATTTCGAGCTCTCACCTGCCGGCTGGGTTCCATGACCACAATGGTGCACGCTATATAATTTTATGATAATTGTGCAATTCTGTAGAGTGGGCATGAGTGGGCCAGAAGAATGGACGAACATGATAGGACCTGCAGCCATCGATGCACCTTCACGGTGGGGGTTGTTTTGTTGGTTGCCCTTTTGGCCGTGCTGCTGAGAATGGAGTACCAACATACACTTCTCGACTTCCTTCCCGCTGCCTGGACTGTTGCAAAGATCTTGAAAGGATCATCCAAGACCCTTGGCTCATTTGCAATTCTACAACCAAACCTGCACAAGCTGCAAAAGGACCTGAAGCGGGCTTTAGCGGCTGGAACTGCAGCCTGTTTACTGTTTGGCCACCAAGGAGGCTGGTAACTCACATTCCCATTCAGAGAGCGATGTTGCAATACTTGGGAATCTCAGAGGCCACTTGGCGCATCTAGATTCTAGACATAAGCTTTGCCATGGTAAGTCTCAGCATTGTCCAGCCATGCCAATTTATGTAAAATCATTGGCTTTGAAGGCTTCCTTCCGCCTGGTGCCTCTCAGGCGAACATGTTGGAACTTCCCTTTCCCAAACATGGGCAGGCCTTTCTGCTTTGCACAGCCCCACATAAAATCCTGCAGATTTGGCGAACTGGACGTGGTGATGGTGGGGAGTTGCCGACGAAGCATTACCGACGAGGTGGTTGGGCAACATTAGATGTCGACAAAATCAGTCTGCACTCGTTTCACTTAGTGTGGCTGAGTGTCTGAGTGTGCCGAGTTGTGTTCTGCTGGGTGTCACCTGAGGAGGTTTCGCAGACTTTTGGCATAGGCTATTGAATTACCAGGCTTGATCCCTCATTCTTTTCACTTCACGTGTTTTGCAGTGCTTGTTTCTGAAAGCTTGGTACCGAAAGAACACAGGGAACAATCAGAAGCAGAAGGGCCCGCTCCCCTTGTCTATCGGGCAGGTTGGCCATGAACTGTCAGATGCCATAGCCAAGAATGCTGGATGGATGGCCGCTTGTTCAAGCCAGCGGGGACCTTATGCTATGGCATTCCCCCCGAAGTGTAACAGGTCACTTCACCTTGAACTCCTTCCAAACACACACCCTTCTTTCATCAAATCTACAAGGGCTCCAAGATCACAATATTCAGATTATTCAATTTAAGCACTATGGGCCTATGGGCACTAAATTGAGAATGCATACACGATAATCAATCACTTTCAGGGAATGAACACCCAACCAAAAACGCTGGCAGACCTTGTGAGGAAGAAACACGTGCTGATGCAGCCATATTATGCGCCGCACCATTTTTCAGCACATGCAAAGAGGTACTAGCGACTAGCGAAACTTCCGAGATCCCGTGACCTCGGAGCAAGGCAGCGGCTGCGCAGCTTGGAGGACTCAAGAGTCCCAAAGCGTCCTTTGGCTGTAGTAGCGTCCTTGCTCCTAGTAGCGATGCCAGGAGCCCCTAGTAGCGTCCTTGCTCCTAGTAGCGATGCCAGGAGCCCCTAGTAGCGTCCTTGCTCCTAGTACTGTAGCGATGCCAGGAGCCCCTAGTAGCGTCCTTGCTCCTACTAGCGATGCCGGGAG